GAGAAACACAATCATCAGGTTCATTGTAAATTATATAAATCTGTAGATTTTTCACTAATTATTTTTGTTTGATAATTATAGATAAGGGCAAAATGCTGTAGTAAACGCAATGACTATGCTTCCACTGTCTAAAATGCTATCTTTTCAACGTTCGTTGAAGAGAAGTTAGTAAGGGTCAATAACAACACTTCTTTCATTCATCTCACTGAATGGAAGAAAAGCGAAAAAACTCGAAACGCGTATGAAAATCTCTTTAACAACGATAAATTGCTCACAAACATCGGTTACCTGGTATTTAAACAATATAAGGGGAAAACGTTGCCGATGATGCACTGCACATTTATCCTAGCTATCTGTGACATTCTCCTCAGTCCATCAAGTCCAGGAATAAAATGCAAAGATAAGTCAGTAGCGAGACGTGTCCACGCATTTATGGTAAGTAATACTTTGAATTTGCTTAAATTTGTATTAAAAATTATTCATATATTGAATATTTAGTGAGATGTGGAAAACAACCAGCCAGCAATGCCAGAAATGATAGCAAAGATAGCAGAAAAAGAAATCGAAGAGATGGAGCAAGTGGCAAAGAAAAAACACCAAAAGTCACGAGCTGGGAATATGATTAAAAAAGAAGAAGAAGAAGAGAAGATAATGACTATGATAATTTTGTAAGTTTCTTTAATACTTTTTGCAATTTGTTTCTTTGAAGTCTTGTAAAAAAAATTTGAACGGAGGATCTCTCTTAGGTACGGCAATAATTTTGGTTTTTGGAAAATTGACGACATTATATTTGAAAGCCAGAATTTCACTTCAGGAAAAGCGATGGTTAGCAGCATGGAAGTTAATAAAGTAGTGATCTTTGATGCTTGACTTGTGTCAAGCGATTTTGAGAAAAGTTCACATTGGCATCTTTTTTTATTAATAATCTTTTGCTTTCATTGTTGTAACACTGTAATGAGAGCTTGAAAGAAGCTGCAAATAGTGTTAGGCAGCGCATTGAAATAGTTTTCATATGAGTCTGGATTTTCTAGTTGACTGATATTTTTTTGAATTTCAGAATGTGAGGATAAAACTTCTCTTCCTAATTTTTCACCCATCTTCGAAGCCTTTTCCAGAGTTACTACGTAAGTTCTTTCCTTCATTGCTTCATCTTTTTCCATTTTCATGCTATTTTAATAATTAACTTGCTTGGGAGATTTGTCGTTTCGATTTCTGGTGAGTTTTGGTCTGCTTTGTTAAGAATGGTTAGTGTTGGAGTTATCAGTGCGAGGAGTCCTTCTTGCAGATTTAGATTGCTTGACTCTGCTATTGATATTAACCATTTTCCGATATCCCTTAGAGCATCACTTGTATCATCACAATGCTTCCCACGTTTAGTACATGATACAGTTTTTTGGTCTTTACCCAATCTTTCGTAAAAGTGCCCACCCTCTTGTTGGAAGCATTCTGAGCAGATGTAATGCGCATGAGAACTTGTGAATGATTTTTGTGCAATGGATCTCTCAGTAAACGTGAAACAATCAAAAGCATCGACACATGGCACTTGAATGTTGCGTCCATTGATGTTTCATGAATGCGTCTCACAACAGTCTCCACGGCTAAAGAAGTATTTTTTCTTGTTACAGAAAAGGCAGAGACGAATATGGACGATGCTCTGTTCAATTGAACATGATTGTTTCATGCCTTGGTCATGAAGCTTGTTCTGGTCAAGGATGAAATGAGAATAACATACTCCAAGATGATGATCATTATCTTTAGCATCTTCAACTGCATTTGCGTCTATCTCCCATGTTCCTATCATTTGCTCCAATTGACGTAGGCTTGTCGTGCTATCACAACGCTTTATTTCGCCTTGGTTAGTATCTACAACTATGCATGGCGTTAGTTTCTGATTTTGCGTGGGGGTCCTTTTGATTATTGTATCTTCTACATCATGCATCATCAGAAAAGATTCATAAAGGTCAGAATCTTCAACTTCAATCTCAGTCCAGTCTACATCATCATCATCATCATTTAGCAAGGCTCAGACACTTGCAAAGGAAACTTGATCGATGTTGAAAATATCCTCTTCGCCATTTTCTTCGAAAGCATTGAAGTAAATAAATTCTGAATTACTCATTTTGTCAGTAGTTTAATTAAGATTGATGTATTGTTGCGTACTACTATTTTAATCGGTCAAAGAGGAGTTTTTA